CGTACTTTTCAGACTCTAACACCTTGAGCTGGATTCGGACAAATAACAGTGCCTTATTCCAAGACTCCTCCAACAGTAAAAGTTGCCTAACTTGTCTTGTGTCTGTGGAAAATCTCCATCACCAAAACACTGCTAGGTTATTCCAGTGTGTATATTAGTTCCATACTACAAAGACCTTGAAAATGCCCTTTGCTATTAATGAACATTCTTTGCATTACAGGACATTCAGGGAAAGTCTAGCTACCAGAACACCACCATATACACACATACATATATACACATTGTAAACACAGGGCAACCTTAAATAGCACCATGAAATCTTTCTTGGCGGACAGTTCATACATAAATATTGTTACATCTTGCACAGTTCTTCTGATTACCTGATAAGGAAGAATAATTAATACCATTGATTTTTCTAAATAATCACTACTCATGCCTTGCAGTAGCCATAAACAAGCTTCTTGGGAAGAACCCAACTAGCATTAGAGAAATTTCATTCATAACCTAGAAGACATCAGGAACAATCTTTTCAATACTGAATGCAGCAATATCTGTGACTGCCATCATATGCTGGGAAATTAGCACCTTAAAGCACTGTATGACTGTGCCTGGCACAAATCCTACCTGTTCTCACAAACAGTTCCAGCAACATATGTACATCAACTTAGTCTTCATTGCTCTGCCACACAAAGAGACAGGAACAACTTTAAGAGACTGGATTGTTTAAACCAACTTATAATACATTGAGAAAAACTCTGGGTAGGGAAGTTACAGGGTTAGCTACATTCATTAATTGCTGGTGCTGTAGAGGGAGAAAGCAGGGAAGGATGGATTAAGAGCACAAGCATTATAGTACTGAAGGCAAAACCTCTCTTTTGCTCACACACATGAAGATGAAATGAAGGCTCCTTCTAAGTGAATGTTGCCATGCAATGACCACTCACTTCTGCTTCCATTCATTTTTGCTCTAGACAACAGAAGGTACTGCAGCTCAAGACTAGAGTACCTCTTTCAGGCCAGCTGTGCACACTATTAAGGGGGGGATGAGGAAGATGGAGTGCAAGTAAGCTAAAACCTAAAGCCATTCCTCCATTTCACAAGGTCCTTAATTCCTTTATTTTTCAAAGCATGCTTTCCCATAATTTTATATTACTACCATTCTAGCAGGGAAGCACCAAGGTCACTGGCTTCTTTTTTTGGTAGCAGCTTAGCTAAAACAGAATGTTTGGCATCTGTCTCAGGCTTCATGTTACACACCCTCAAAATATAGAGAATACTTGTCCTGTATCCAGGCATCATGATTTTGAAAGGTCCATGAGGCCTTCAGAGGTTTATCAGTCTCTTTAAAGAACCTTAGCTACATTCTAGTCTAAACAAGCCAGTAACTGGTTCAAGGTGCTCCTGCTTTAGATTACTGTTTCCCATTCTCTCTTCTGGTCAAAAAAGCCTTCTCAACGAGCATAGAGAAATGTCACTCAGAACCTCTGTTGCTGCAATTCATGCTATTGGTTAATCAGGCTCAGCCAGCTCAATGTGCTAGGTGAACAAGCAAGACATTCTCCCCTCGAATAAAAATCTGGTTTATGTGTCGTGTGAAAACTTGCTGGTAATCCACTCTTGGCCTCTGCTTTTTCCGTGACCGACCTCTTGTGCTGCTCGCACTTGTCCCCTCTGTATGTGAGATTCTGCCAGGCAGATCAACCTCCTTCCCAAAGGCTCGAGGCAGGCTATAGCTCCGTGCCCGCTCTTTGCTTGAATGCTTCTTCGCTTCACAGTGTTCTTCTGATCTTCCCCGAGCTGACCTAGCCTTCCTCCCAAGTGTCCTAGGATCACACGAGAGGCCTGGAAGATCTGCGGCCATCTTTGCGTCAGTTCCTTTCTTATCCACAGATTCCTGCAGCTTAAGTCTGTCAAACAACTGCAGAGAAACATTCAAAAAGAGGGGCAGGGGGAGGAAAAAAAATCTGTTATGGTAATTCTGCACTATAAAATGATCCATAAAAGTGCAAGGTCTAGCAGAAAAAGTGCATAACATACAACAGTTGCATGATTAGTACTTACTGTAGACCGATTAGGCATAGGTTACAAGTGCTTTGTTTTGTGGCCAAGGAGTTCTTTTGAGTTCTGCTTTTTATTTATATATTCATTCCTAGTTCATCTATTATAAATGTACTTTATGAATGCCATTGCTGTGTTGGTATTGTTCTGGCCCAGGGGCTAAAACAATTGATACATTTGATTTGCACTGCAAGCCTTCAGAGGCAGGGACTGTGCCACTCATATGGATTTTACAGGAACCAGCAAATTGCTGGAATTAATAAATGCCACATTGTAGTACTATAACACCAAATGAATCTAGTGATTATTTATAATTGTAAGTCTTGTAAAATATTTATTATTAAAAGGTTTGTTATCAGTGTTCCCTCTAAGCTGAGTTAGTGTGAGCTAGTTCGCAGTTTTTTAGCCTCCGGCTCACAGACTTTTGTCTTAGCTCAGGAAGGATGGCTCCAGAAGAAACTGATTTCTGCAGTAGCCAAACTGCTCGCTCACAACTTTAATGCCAGTAGCTCACAAAGTAGAATTTTTGCTCATAAGACTCCACAGCTTAGAGGGAACATTGTAATTGTTATATGTTTTCAACTGCATAGCAGAACATGGTCTGAAAGCACTGCACCCTAGAGGGAAGTGATCTGTATGGCAAGAGAAGGACATGGGGACTCAGAAGGGGGGAGGGGTGGAGGAGCTGAAGCATTTTTCCCCTGAAGGAATGGAGAATTTCTGAAGAAGATGTTCCAGAGGACAGAAGCCTTTGGAGAGTGAAAAAGGTGGCTGGCAGAAGAGTGGCCGTTTTCTGAAAAGGTTTCTCCTATGACTATGAGGAAAAGTGGCTTCAGAGAGGTTGCGAAGGACCTCACCAGGGGTCCAACAAGACCTGACTGCAGTTTGTGAGTCAGAGCCCAGAGACTAAAGAGTTGGTTTTTATACCCCACTTTTCTTTACCAGAAGGAGTCTCAAAGCCACTTACAATCACCTTCTCTTCCTCTCCTCACAACAGTCACCTTGTAGGGTAGGTGAGGCTGAGAGAATTCTGAGAGAACTGTGACGGGCCCAAGGTCACCCAGCAGGCTTCATGTGGAGGAGGAGTGGGGAATCACACCCAGTTCTCCAGATCAGAGTCACCTGCTCTTAGCCACTACACCACAGCTGGCTCTCTTCCTTTTCTATTCACCCTGACTTTGGGACTGCTCAGTATATTTTATTATTCACATTGTTTTGCATAGAACTCCCAGTTCTAACTGAACCCCCACCTTTAAATAAAAGCTGTTTAAGTGCTCTCCAGGTTTTGAATGGGGTATCCATGATTCTGTGACTACTAAGGGTTACATAATGAAAAGCAACGACTAAGGATAAATTCACGTATGCAACCATGGCAGCATTTTGTAGCAACTGGCTCAAGTGAGAAGACCAGCATAAACCAAAAGCCTGGATCCTATAGTGCATCTCCCACAACCGAAAGATACCACTGCAAGAAGAGGAGGGGGGCGATTTCCATCAATCCCCTCCCTCCACTGCATGAACAGATCCAGTGTCAGCTGAGTTCACTGTGCATTGTTTACAGGTTAATAAATTATAACATCTTCTGGTAGATCAAGATGGGTTATCTGAAGAAGTGAGCAGTGACTCGCGAAAGCTCATAACCTGCCACATATTTTGTTATTCTTAAGTTGGTAGCGGATTCTTGCTCTTTTCACAACGTATTTTGGGTTTTCCAAAGTAGAATGCGTTATTTCTAAGTGTAAATATAGATGTGTAGGATTTCAAAAGCAGCCACGGGTGTGTGTGCATTAGATATACAAACCAACCAATAAACAAATGGGATCAGTTCTCAGTCTTTCCTTCCCCCTTGCACATTGAGAAGACTGTTTCTTTTTTAAAAGAACGTATTTAGTCATGAATAGGATCTTCCTTAAGCTTGCTGAATCCTAAGCATTTTCCCCCCAAACAGGGTTTTATTCATTTTACATTAGCAACAAGATTAACAACAGGATAGGTGTATACATATAGCCTGCATATATTATTTTATACATACAAATAAATATAGCCCTATATAGTCTAGTCTAAGGACGCTGTTAAGCATTTTTTAATAATTTAAATTTAATACTTAGTTGCAGGGCTTTTTTTCCTCAGTGAATGCACTGGAATGGAGTTCCAGAACCTCTTCAACAAAATTCTTTTTAAAATATTTAAAAGTTTATGAGTTTTCAGTATACAGATTGAAAATTTCATTTCCCTCTTGAGAGTTCTGGCACCTCTTTTTCAAAAAAAAAAAAAAAGCCCTGCTTAGTTGTATAACTACTCTAGAGATTGGTGGGGTATGTATACCTTGGTAGTGACATAGGTCTTAACCAATTCATCATCCACTTTACTCCGTTTAATTCATACAATTGCAAAACTTGCAGAGCCATTTTTTGCAGAGTCAACCCCTGGATGCAGAAATGTGTTCCTGCTCTGCAGACAATCAAATCGTTTCTAAAATACTGTTTGTGTCTCATCTGAGGAGGATACTGGTAGTCAATTATCTTTCAACTGAAAACCTGGCTGAAAGTATATTGACTGAGACACTAGAAAGAAAGGACACTACAAATACTATCCAGCTGACTGGGTGGAAAACTGGTTTCTATATCCTGGGTGGACAGCCAGCAATCTAAAAGCAAGCCTAGCCTCCACCCCTCCCAAGAGCTAGGAATCTCTGGATTAAAATACTCGAAGAGGCTATGCTGAGTACCAGACAGACTGCAACATTCAGAGATATTGCCAATTCCTCAAAAGATAACAAAGGATCTGGAGAATCCTTTCATCGCTTCAGAAAGCAAGTATATCAGATCTATTTTTGCTGCACTATGCAATATTGTTAAAACTCACTAGCACTACACTTTGTAATACATAATTAATATATAACCTATTTGAAATCACCCACTGTTCCTGAAATCAGCAGAGGTTTTTTTTATGGACCTTTTTGAACTATATGTGTCAATGGGTTTAAATAAACAATGGATTTGAACCAGCCAGTGAACAAGCTAGAGAGTGGCTACTTACTCTGTTAAGGGTCAACTGTGGTTCGACATAGAAAGCTCTGCCCAGAACAGGTTTCCGGTATGTCTCATCCACATCTGTCAAGGCCTAGGGCAAAAAAGTAGATGGGTAGCAAAATTACTTGAGACTTACACATTATACTTGTAGCACATCCAGAAACCAGAGCAGGGGAACAGTAGAGTAAGCAGACACTGTTTATTACACAGCTCAAGATCACACATTTGCTTCAGTGGTTTGATTTCTGTCCTCTCTGAGAATAGTGACAAAAGTGCAGAGAGAACTGGTCCTGATTCAGGAATACTTTATTTTAAGAGAGAGTTACCAGGATAAGAGCCTGTAGGACTTTTCCCCCAGTCTTGCCTCAATCTGTTGCACAAGGGGTGCCTTTTCCTGACTGAGAAAACAGCGTGAGGAGAAGGTTTAAAAGCATCTGCCCCTTTGTTCCTGATAAGAATTGGATCCTCATATGCCTGGTGGATTTTAAAAAATGCTGACAGCTCCGCAGAGGGAACCCCACATACTGTGTAGTTAGGCTGGTCAGTTTCAGCTCATCAGACAACATAAGAGCAGTGGCCTCAGCTTCAGCTTCCTGTTGGTCAGACAACCCCGTTGCTCTTAAGTTTCATCCCCTTTCCAGCACTGAGCCCCACAAGCTGCTTCAAAGTCTTTGGAAGGTTTCAACACTGCTTTATCTGAGTTGCACTTAATGTCCAGGATTTTCATGTCATGTATTTATCAGGAAAGTTTATTCCTCAAACACACACCTTTTTTTTGGGGGGGGAAGAAAAATTCACCAAAGTTCAGCTCAGCCAGCTCTAACCTAAACCATGTAATTGTCTTACAATCTATAAAGCAAAGAAATATAAGTTTGCTACTATATGGAAACTGCAGCAGATGTTTCTAAAAGAAGTGAGAAGAATCAATTTAATATCTATTACCTGAAAAGGTTATTTTAATTTGGCAAGAGCACTGCTTTTGTACAGGCAAAAAGAAGTTGTGTATAAGAGTGTAGAAAAAATAAAGAATTCAAAACCAAGAAAAGTTCAATCTTAAGGCAAAAACAGCTATTTATGAGGCAACAGAGAGATGAAATGCTTTTTAAAACAAGGTTTTACTCAAAATATGTAATATAACATTTTATATAATGTAATCTACTGCATTAGATGGTGATGATTCTTATGAATACTGTAGACATATACAGTATATTTTCAAGAATATGCTTATTGTTTGACCCTGATCTGAATGGCCCAGGCTAGCCATATGTTGGCTGCAACTTGATGGCACTTTCCACCAGTACCAATGTGTTTAATGATAATACATTATTAAACAGTTCAGTGATTTCAGTGTTATAAATAACATGATACCCAAACATGCTAACAACCCTACATACCGTGACTATGTAAGAGTGTTTCTGTCCAAATGAGACCCTCACTTTTGTTCACTACTGAAATTTTCTACCTTCACTTTTTATTCTTTCCTATCTTTCAGGCAGCAAAAATTAAGATACATGTGCTAACGCAGCACAGGGTACAGCATTTTTAGAACTCTCTCTTGAGTACTGGCTATACTTGCAATTTTTCTATAGAAAACAAAAGCATTTATACTTTTGAATTCCATAAATATGCCACATAATTCCATTCCATATATTCAGATTTTCCCCAAAAATGTCAGTGTTCCCCCCCCCCCACATACACACACAAAATTATCCCTCGTGGCTTAAATTTTACATTTCTACACACTACAGAAATTATAAGAATATATTAAACAAGAAAGAAATTGAAGCAATCCAACTGAAGTCAATGATAAAACTCCCTTTAAGTTGTACAGATAGATTGCCCAAATGCCTGAGCTGTTGTGTACATTAATTGTTCCTCCACATCATTTGAAGTCTTTACATTGGTAGCTGTAAAATCACAGAAAAAGATGGTCATTACCATATTCCAGAACTTGTCAAATGCAACCAAGAATCCAGTACATACTCCACGAAGCCCTTTGAAAGTTCGAACATGGACATTGACTTTAACACCATCTCGGACACAGCGGTGAAGTTCTCCAAGTGGGCTGCCCTCATGAACTAGAACAAAAATGAACCACCATGTCTGGTTACTGGGACAAACATCACATAGAATAAAATGAATTACAAAAGGCTGAACTCACACAGTTACTGTGAAAATTGTCTTAAAAACTCCCTAATTTATACAGTGAGCTATTATTGCCACAAAGGTACAGTATACTTCAGTAAACCCAGCTGTATTACAAGATACAGCACCAGTCATCAACTTAGAGAGAACATAATAGACAGCCAAACAAAATTTTACAATGTATACACATGGAACTCTAGCACAAAAACAGCTGTCCACAAAAAACATGACCACTTTAACCGTGTAAGCTGCTTATTTCTTGCATTAGCTACCTTTTGGAAATTTATTTTCTTTGCACCAAGTCCAAACCTAGTGTTTTATGAGCAAAAATGAGTACATCCTTGAAAACAACAGCATAATTCATTTACCTAATAAGAACTAGTATTTGAAAAAAAGATCCAGTCTAATTTTCAATTTTGAGTTTCATTGATTTCAGAACAGAAGAAGAAGACTGGATTTATACCCCGCCTTTCACTTGGAGCCTTTCACTCAGAGCATCTTACAATCTCCTTCCCTTCCTCTCCCCACAACAGAGGTAGGTGGAGCTAAGAGAGCTCTGAGAGAACTGCTCTTGAGAGAACAGCTCTGAGAGAACTGTGACTGTCTCAAGGTCACCCAGCTGGCTTTATGTGGAGGAGTGGGGAATCAAACCTGGTTCTCCAGATCAGAGTCAGCCACTGTTAACCACTACACCAAACTGGCTTGGTATAGGCTTGGTGAAGGTTTGGACAAACTGAAACAAACTTCTGAATTCCTTTCACATGTTAGCTTTTCCCCTTGATTGTTTGAGTGCATTTTCAAATATTCATCAGTTTATTTCACTTGATGTAAAGGAAGAACGCATAAGAAACCAGATGAATGGTGTAGTCCATGGAGACCTTGTGAATAGACTCCCATACAGAATATTCACAGACATTCTGTATACTGCAGCATCTGAAGTATTTTTCCAACTTCAAGTCCTTTGTGTGTTCCTTATTTATTAATTTGGTCAAATTACTAAATAAGGAACTAAATTTCACTCAGTCCTTGAGAGAAAATTCATTCTTGTTTCATAAAATCTTTCACTGGCTAGAAGGGGGATCCAATAGATATTGTTTACCTTGACTTCCAGAAAGCTTTTGATAAAGTTCCTCATCAAAGGCTCCTAAGTAAGCTCCAAAATCATGGGATAAAAGGGCAAGTCCTTTTATGGATCAAAAACTGGCTAATTAATAGAAAACAGAGAGTGAGTATAAATGGGCAGTTCTCTCAGTGGAGGGGGGTAAGCAGTGGGGTACCGCAGGGATCAGTACTTGGTCCAGTGCTTTTTAACTTGTTCATTAATGATTTGGAGTTGGGAGTAAGCAGTGAAGTGGCTAAATTTGCGGATGATACAAAGTTGTTCAGGGTGGTGAAAACCAGTGAGGATTGTGAGGCACCCCAAAGGGATCTGTCAAAGATGGGCGAGTGGGCGTCAACATGGCAAATGGGGTTCAATGTGGCCAAGTGCAAGTTGATGCACATTGGAGCCAAAAATCCTAAATATAAATACACGTTGATGGGGTCTGAACTGGCAGAAACTGATCAAGAGAGAGATCTTGGAGTTGTAGTAGTGAGTAGAAATGAAAATGTCGAGACAGTGTGTGACTGCAATAAAGAAGGCCAATGCTATGCTGGGGATTATTAGGAAGGGTATTTAAAACAGGTCAGCCAATATCATAATGCCCCTATATAAATCAATGGTGCGACCTCATTTTGAATACTGTGTGCAATTCTGGTCACCAGACCTTAAAAAGGATATTATAGCTTTGGAAAAAGTGCAGAAAAGGACAACTCGAATGATAAAAGGGTTGGAACACTTTCCCTATGAGGAAAGGTTAGGGCGCTTAGGGCTCTTTAGCTTGGAGAAACGACGACTGAGGGGTGACATGATTGAGGTTTATAAGATTATGCATGGGAAAGAGCAGGTAAAGAAAGAGGTACTTTTCTCCCTTTCTCACAATACAAGAATTCGTGGGCACTCCATGAAATTGCTGAGCGGTCAGGTTAGAACGGATAAAAGGAAGTACTTCTTCACCCAGAGTGATTAACACTTGGAATTCACTGCCACAGGAAGTGGTGGCGGCTACAAGCATGGACGGCTTTAAAAGGGAATTAGATAAGCATATGGAGCAGAGGTCCATCACTTGCTATTAGCCACAAGGTATAGATAGGGACTCTGGGGGAAGTGATGCTCTGTCAGCTTGGTGCTGGGGGGAGGGGTTAACAGTGGGAGGGCTTCTAATGTCCTGGCCCCACTGGTGGACCTCCTGATGGCACTGGTATTTCTGGCCACTGTGTGATACAGAGTGTTGGACTGGATGGGCCTTTGGCCTGACCCAACATTGGCATCTCTTATGTTCTTATGTAAATCACTAGAACATTCTTCTCCCATAAAATACCCTTTTCCTTTGGGTATGGATTTGTTCTGCAAAGCATCTGTTCAGGATAAGAACTCAACTACTTGAAGGAATAAAGGTTCCTCACAGTAAAATAATAGTTCCTTCTAATTCTAATAAGCAGCCGTTATGGAAAAATTAAGGACAATCCTCCTTCCAATATGCCATCAACCAACGCATTTTGGGGAGGGGAGTGGCCACAGTTGAGTGGTGAATCATGGTTTGTGTGGTGGACCACCCTGCACCCAAGAATTCACCGCAAAGTTTCAATTATTGTGACTGCTTTCTACCCCTGGGCAAGAGCCAGGCGGCAGAATGATAGTGGAGAGAAGGGTTGGAGATAGTAGCCATCAAGGTCCCAGCACTGAGTATTCAAGCTCTTAGTTATGCTCATATTTTACTACCCCATCTCCTGCTAGTAAGTCACACTCAGAGCCATAAAGCTGGGAAGACTGAAGTGATAGAAGGTAAACTCTTCCTTTGGTACAGGAAGGCTATCCCAAGGGGTGATGTGGAGAAAGAGAGGTTATAAAGAAGAAGAGATTGGAATTATACCCTGCCCTTTACTACTCGAAGGAGTCTCAAAGCGGTTTACAATCTTCTTCCCCTACCCACATTAGACAGCCTATGAAGTAGGTTGGGCTGAGTGAGCTCTTTCAAGAACTGCTGTTGAGAGAACAGCTCTGAGAGAACTTGTGACTGACCTAAGGTCACAGCAGCAGCTGCATGTGGAGAACTGGGGAACTGAACCTGGTTCTCCCAGATTAAAGTCCGTGGTCTTAACCACTACACCAAACTGGCTCTCAAAACCTCTGAACACAGGGGAGAGGGGTTTGGGGCATCTCTTTGGATTTGCACAAGCCACGATGAACAAAGCTTTCACCTAGGGACTCTGTTTTGCTTAAAAGGCAGGGGACAATGGAGAGGAATCCTGGCCAGGAGAGCTACGGTAATGATGAATTCTAACTCACTGCAATTTCAAATAAACCTTGACCCAAAATTCAATATTATTTAGAAAGTACATAGTACAGGCACAGAAGACAGTGTGTTTTCACCTTTTCTTTGTTCCCTTGCTAAGCCCAAATTGCCTGACTGGAACATGTGCATTCTCTTATTCATTTATTAAACCTTCTTATATTTTAAATGCTCTAAGTCTGATCCCTGGAAAAACATCACATCTATTAAGTCTTGCTATTGAAGTGTGGTACTGGGGAGGAGCAACAGAGAAGCTCTCCATCCCTGGAACACAACAGCTCTAAAGTGCAAAGATGTGATAGATCACCCCTGTGCTTGCTTGTAGAAGGGCGGCGGGAGGTACAGAAACTAGGTGGGGCCTCTAAACTGCAAGCCAGGTACAGAATGCTAGATGTAGGACTCTGTCTTGCAGGAGATACTCCTAAGAGATATTGATTGCAGTTGGTGATTACTGAGGTTGTAACTGGAATCCAAGGGGTTCTTCTGACCCACAGGGGTCCAAACAGAAGGAAAAGGTTTTTGCAAGCCCATTCCTTCACTGTTAGCATGCAGAAGGTTCAAGGTACAGTCCCTGGCATCACCAGGAGAGCCATCACTGGGAAGCACAGCCAATACTGGGTCAGCTGGATCAATTATCTGACTTAGTATAAGGCAACTTCCTATATTCATTCCAGAATCCATAACAAGTGGCCAACCTCCATTACTACAGACTGGACAAATACTGTCAATTTATTGTCTATTATCACATATTGTAAAACATTTCATAACATTATAAAGGAGGTAGCATACTTTCTAATTTAATTGTGATGTAATGTGTTAGCAATGAGTGAGAACTGCTTGTCTCATAGCCCTGCAGCCGTCATGGGCAGAACACCAGAGCAAAAATTCTCCTAGTAGCCACCTACTATAACTGGAAACATTCCAAACACAAAAAAATTGGCCCGCTGCCTATTTAGCACAAGTGACTTTTTAAAAAGTAGCTGCTGTTATTTTGTTTCACTTCAATTTTATTTTTTCCCCCAAAAAAATTGTTTGATGTTCTAAGCTAACCCTGGTATTCTAGGATGGAAAAAACCCTGTCCAGTTAATTATCTGCATTTATTGAAACTTTCCTAACATTATTTATGATAATACATTACAATTTTAAAGCTATTAATTTAATTGTTTCTCAATAATAGTCAGGCCTTTTTTTGTAATTATCCTAAGTATCAAATCTGTTGAACATCAAAAAAAAATTGGGCATTTTTAACTGACAGTGCTTCAATAATAGACAACTAATCCTTGACTGGCCAATTATCATAGAATCATAGAGTTGGAAGAGGCCATAAAGACCATCTAGTCCAACCCCCTGCCCAATGCAGGACCAGCCTAAAGCATCTCTGACAAATATTCATCCAGCCTCTTCTTGGAACTGCCAGTGAAGGGGAGCTTACCACCTCCCTAGGCAGCTGATTCCACCTTTGAACCACTCTGACAGTGAAAACGTTTTTCCTAATATCAAGCCGATACCTTTCTGCATGTAATTTAAACCCGTTGTTTCG